TGTATGAAATGTGCTATATAAATAAACTTGCCTTGCCTTACTATTACATTACTGGGGTCACTTTCCTTGAATGTTTGCTATGGGAAAAGAACACTACCTTCTTTTGTCTTTCATGTGGCCCACAATGGAGCAAATTTAATGGGGCTGGACTTATTCACCACTCTGGGGTTTGCCCTAGTGGACACAGAGGGGGCGGCTGTCCTAGTGCCAGTAAACATCCTGATGTTTGCTACATTTCTGGTATCATCGCATTCATTTAACAGTACACACACCTACTAGTTTAGTAGATGTGACAGAGATGTGACACACATGTGAGGCTGTAGTGTGTAAGTGTTACAATTCCCATAGATGTAAGGCTACGTTTACACTAGTACGTTTTCATTTTAAAACAGCTTTTTACAATGAAAGTGTTCCTCGTCCATACTGGCGTTTCCACTGCATTTCAGAAAAGATCTCACTACACGACCGAAAACCACCGTTGAGTGTTGGTTATAACTTCTGATTGCGATCTAATGTGTGTTTTGGCCATATAATGTTGCTAAAATATGTTATCTGTAGCTTATATCAGGCTAATCACTACACCTGCATAGCTTTTCTCATGTAAACACCCTGTATTGTCATGAAAATTGGCAGAATCTCATGAAAATCACATACAAATCATACACTGTCATAATGGTATGTTTATTAGGTTCATGTTCCATCCATAGGAATTAGGGATGGCCGATATCTTATTGTTTGCGATATACCGGTAAAAATTCTCCCCACGATAAGAATTAGTCTTCCCGCGATAATAACGATAGTCTAGTTGTTGACATATTTCTGTGTGCGGCTGTGTGGTGTGACGTGAAATTGAGCAGCTCCTTCTACAATCTGGAACAGGTTTGGATAGGGCTGTACAGTGCGACAAAAATCGGTCTGAGCCTTGAGTAAATGTACTACAGTAGCACGTGTGCGATACAGTTTTACATGTGTATGAGTCGTTTACAAAAATGTTGTAAAAAATGTTGGCCTCTGGCCTTGGCTCTGGAACTTGAGAAGGCTCCTGGCTGAGCTCTGGGACATGATGCTCTGGAGTGGACTCTGGAGCAGACTTTTAACTTGAGAACCAGAGTATGAAAATGTTCTTCAGAGCTGTCTTGTCAGAGATGACAGGAGGGTCTGCCAATTATGCTCCCAGGCCCCTACTGTTGTCCAGGTTCCAGGAACGCCTCTCTGGTTAAATCTGGTCGAGATGGAGGCTGACAAAATTAGCTTTCTCGACACCCCCATCTCACAGGCTGGATTGATCAGCAACAATTCAAAGCCTACTGATTCGAAGGCGCAGCATCGAGCCCCCCACAGGAAAGTGACACCCTAGTCTCATGGACTGCGGCTAAACCCTTCAAGCGGCAGCCAAAGCCTGGAGAGTGGAGAATCGTTTGTTGACTCATTTTGGTTCTGTTCCTCCGCAGCCATTGTGGCTGGCGGTACACAAAATTTCATTAAGAAAGCAGTTTCCTCTATCTCTGGGTGTTCCGGGTCAACTAACAACGAGTGACGCTCTGTCTCCTCACCCTCAGTCTCCCACTCATTCGCCTCAGTGGTTCGAGGACATGTCACTTCCTCTTGCAGTGCCTGCCAACCCATCGTGGGATCCTTTGATCCAGGTAGGCCCTCTTCTCCTTTTTACTGATGATTCTTTAGCTCGGTTGGGCCCCAGTGCTCCATCTCACGTCTGTGACTCCACTGGTACCATTCGTGCAGAATCTGGGGGCCTGGTTAGCACTCTCCAGCCCAGATTGCTGGCTGCTGTGGGCAGTCAGACTCAACTATGCGATTCAGTTCACCGGGTGCCTGCCCAAGTTCAAGAGTGTTCGTTTCATGACAGTATCCAATGTCAATGCCCCAGTTTTACGTAGAGATTGCAATCTTGTTAGCAAATGACGCAACAGAGCCTGTCCTTCCGGCCAAAATAAAGTCAGGCTTTGACAGCTTGTATTTCATCATGCCCAAAAAAGCCTGAGGTTTACAACAAATCCTAGACCTGCTTGTTTTGAATCAGGCCCTGTGCAATCTCCCGTTCAAGATGTTGATGCAGAAAAGCATTCTTTAATGCATTTGCCCTCAGGAATGGTTTGCAGCGATCGAACTGAAGGATGCGTACTTTCATGTCTCAATCTTGCCTTGACAGAGATCATTCCTCTGGTTTGCTTTCAAGGGTCGGGCATACCAGTACAAGGTCCTGCCCTTCAGCCTGTCCCTGTCACCCTGTATCTTCATGAAAGTCGCGGAGGGTACCCCTCAGGGAGATGGGCATCTGAATCTTAAATCTCAATGACTGGCTCATTCTAGCTCGCTCTCAAGATTTTTTGTGCCAACACAGGGACCTTGTGCTCAGTCACTTAGTCCGTTTGGGACTTTGGGTCAACTGGGGAAAGATAAAACTCTCCCCTGTGCAAAGTATATCTTTCCTCAGTGTGGAGTTGGATTTGGACAACTCCCGTGGATTGTTGTGTGATCTTGAGACCCTGGCCCAGATTCGCGCAAAAGGTTCCCACCACTCCCTTTCGAGATCAGGTGATGAAACTGCAAGCTCTGCCACCAGAGGAGGAAGACCCCAGTCTCACACCGCTGTGTCCTGTTCGTGCCCTGTGCATCTATGTGGACCATATGCAGTGTTCCAGAACATCTGAGCAGCTCTTTGTCTGACACCTGACTTCGTGCTTGTGTGAATGCCCTGCTGGTCAGCCCCTGATGGCCTTGTGCTCCGCACTGGGATTCCTGGTTTGGTAATCTTGTGCATGTATTTTTACACAGTGTACACTGTGTCTTTCCCTTGCAAAAGCTTTTCCCTTGAAAATACCTCTACTTTGTTCTTCCAGTTGGTAGAATACAGTTGCAGGCCATCTCCATACATTGTTACTGCCACTGCCATCAGTTTGTATGTAGTTCTCCACACATTTCCTCCCCCTCTGGGCAGGGTGTGGCCTCTGCAGCATTACGTTTTCCCTCTCACGGGCATGCTTTCCACAATCTGAGGTGAGTGTGCTGCCAACTTCCTTAAATGCCCCATGGGTCACAGGGAGGAGATTTGGCATGCAAATCTCACCAACCACAGTTCATTGGCTCTTTTACTTCTTAACTGAAGGTTATTGGGGTTTCCAAGCGTGACCCCGATTGTCAGTATTGATGTAACGTCTCCGTTCCCTCATTCAGGGAACAAGGGTTACAGCAGTAACTGAGATGATCCACAGGTGGCCAGCACACACTCCACAAAATCCACAAACATTCCCCGAGGAGCATCAGTGGGCAGGTGTGCCCTCATCTGCTCATTAACCCTG